TAGGGTGCGGGGTCACTGCGACAGCGTCCTAGAGTGCGGGGTCACTGCGACAGCGTCCTAGAGTGCGGGGTCACTGCGACAGCGTCCTAGAGTACGGGGTCACTGCGACAGTGTCCTATGGTGCGGGGTCACTGCGACAGTGTCCTATGGTGCGGGGTCACTGCGACTGTGTCCTAGAGTGCAGGGTCACTGCGACAGTGTCCTATGGTGCGGGGCCACTGCGACTGTGTCCTAGGGTGCAGGGTCACTGCGACAGTGTCCTAGGGTGCAGGGTCACTGCGACAGTGTCCTATGGTGCGGGGTCACTGCAACAGTGTCCTAGAGTGCGGGATCACTGCAACAGTGTCCTATAGTGCGGGGTCACTACAGGAGCTGTGACAGCTAAAACAGCTGCCACTTCCTCCTCTGTTGAGCAAACCACTTGAACAAATGCTGTCTAGGATGCTCCTAGCTCCGCCATGACACAGAACCTTCCTCCTATTTTTACTCAAGAAAACATTAGCGATTATCCTCGTTAATAATTGTTACTTTGTAACTTATGAATGTAGCTATTGGTTGAGTCATCTAACAGTTTCAGGCCCCGACTCTCACATAACACTTCCTGCTGGTTAGTTTTAAGTCAACTTGACACAAGATAGAGTGATTTGGGAAGAAAGACCCTCAACTGAGAAATTGTTCCCCATCAGATTAGCCTGTGGTAAAGTCTTGGTTTTTCTTGGTTAATGAGTGATGCAGGAGGGCCCAGTTCACTGTGGGCATTTCCACCCCTGTGCTAGTGGTCCTGGATGCTATAAGAAAGCCATGGGGAAATAAGCCAATAAGCAGCTGGTATGTATTAATCTTTTTGTACAATGTGAGAATGTATCTTTGCTAAGGTGCCTTCTGACTGGTTTAATAAAAGAGCTGATTGGCCAAAAGCTAGACAGGTAGAAGTTAGGCGGGACTTGCAGACACAAAGAAGTCATGGGAAGAGGATGGAGCCACTAACCAGATGGAGGGGAAGCAGGAGATGGATATATCATGCTGACAAAAGGCACCCCACCTGGTAGAGCATAGATAGGAAATATGGGTTAATTTGAGTTGTAAGAGCTAGTCAGTAATAAGCCTAAGCTATTTACCAGGCATTTAAAATGAATAAGTCTCTGTGTGGTTATTTGCAGAGCCAGCCGTCTGGCAAAAACTTTACCTACAAGCAGCATTTTTCCATGGTCTCTGCTTTAGTTCCTGACTCCAGGCTCCTGCTTTGAGGTCCTTCTCCAACTTTTCTCACTAATAGAGTGCAAACTGAGAGCTTTAACCTGAAATAGACCTTTTCTTCCCCAAGTTGCATTTGGTGATAGTGTTTTATCACATCACAGAGACTCTCACTAAGTTTAACCAACAAGGACGCATTATTGGCTCACAAGTTCAGAGGCCATAAAGAGGAACCACCATTCCAGTGGGACTTCCTTACGAATAAGGAATCTTCTGTCCCAGAAGACTCTGGAAAACTCCCTTTCATGTCTCACCAGTTTATATTAAACTGTCTATATCATTCTATATAACACCCTTTCCCTAACAACCTCCAGGGGCAGGATAACGCCCTGAGATTACTGGTATAGGGCTGGAGTCCTAGGTGGTTAATAACTGAACTCCTGGGTAGCCAGTAGCTGGAGTCCTGGTTGATCAATAGCTGGAGTCCTGGGAAATCATTGAGTGGAGTCCGGGAACGGGGAGACCAGGGGTAGGAAATTAATGATCTCTTACACTCACTAGTTTTACAAATAAGAACAAGATGAAGCCATTTTCCCCCAAAGCACTGCATGGAGATTGACCAAAGAGATCTTTCAACGTGGAGAGGGACAGATGTTTGACAGACAACTAGACCCGAAAGTCTTCTTCACAGGTGGAGAAATTCATCACAGGCTCTTTACAGAGACCCACGGAATCTTAAGGGAACACCCGGAGGCCAGGGCCAAAGGCAGTGTGGGAAACGAGGCAGGTTGAATGGGATCCTAAACACCTTTCGGCTTTTCCTATCCTTGGCAATCTTTTCCACCTCCTTTGTACTGAGGCTGGTCTGGCTCTGACCCACAGAATGTGGCAAAAGCAACCCTGTAGATGCTGTCCAATGTAGGCTCTAAGAGGTCCTGAGCACCTTCCCGGCTCTCTTGCATCACCCCACACCATATCAGGAGACTTACCTGAACGGTAAGCGATCGCACAGAGCTGACTGCCAGCACCAACGTACTAACTGTGCCTATGAGCAGTCCTCGCTCCTTCACAGCCAGTCAAGTTGACGCATGACTGTGGCCCCATGAGTGACTCAATAGCACTCAACTGAGCACAGCCAATCAATGGAGCTGTGAAGGTAGAAGAAGTCATTGTTTTAAGCACGACCTTTGGGTAATTAGTTTTAGAATAGTAGGTGGATGAGCCAGGAGAACCTTTGAAAAGTCTTCCAGTCTCTCCAGATTGTATATCCTAAAATAGCTTTTTGTCAACCCGACACAAACTAGGGTCATCCAGAACCTCATTGGAGAAAATGTTTCCATCAGATTGGCCTGTAGGCAAGTCTGGGGGGATTTCTCAATTGATGATTAATAAGGGCGAGCTCAGCCCACTATCGGCAGTGTCACCCCTAGTGGGGGGGGGGTCCCGTGAGCTATAATCAAGATGGCCGAAAGTGAGCTCCAGGCACACTCACTGTCACCTGCAATTTGAAGCAGCCTGTTCTAGTCTTTTTGAAACTTGGACTAGAATGTTGTCCAGCAATAAACAAAGATTCTGTCTCTTGGATGCTTTCATCCCTTGTCCCTGGTCCCTCATGGCTCATCTGGAGTCCGTCCCCTTAACGTACAACCCCACAGCCCCAGGGAAGTACTTCAGCCATCTGAAGTCACTCTCTGCTATCCTAACTCAACAATCCGGATTCCCAGACTTTTTAAGTGATGATGGAACACAGGAAGATGGACTTAGCGCAGTTCGGGGGGGCTATCTTGATGACCAGATGAGTGACCTGAAGCAGCCAGCGAGGCGGCGGGGTCCTTCCCTAGCAGGACTGAACCAATCCTGTGGGAAAACTGGCTAGTCTGTTCAGTAAAGACTAACTTTGGGGGAAATAAAAACCAGTTTGATGGGCTGAAAGGAGCCTGCAAAAGGAGGAACACAATATTTCAAATGATACGGGCCCAGGAAAGTTCTCCCCCCCCCCCGCCCCGGGTGTGTGTGTGTGTGTGTGTGTGTGTGTGTGTGTGTATGTGTGTGTGTGTGTTGGTCAGGGAGGAAAGAACAGGATGTAGTGGGCAAACCTCAGCTGGAGAGGGTTATGCAGGGAAGAAGTGGGCAGGGAAAGGAAGCAAACGTGGTCCTGGCTTCAGGGAGTAAAGCTTCTGCTTCCCGGTAGGAAGATCTCAGGGGAGTGATGGGGTCTGTGATCGACGGGTGATACAACCTAAAAATTCTGTGCCCTGTGTGATTGACAGTGGGAGACAGACTCAGCCTGGCGGGGCGTCAGCCCCTGTTTCCCTCCTGTAGAAAGCTCTAGGCTGTTGAGAAGCAAGCTGCTTCCTTCCAGAAGAGCTGAAAACTCTTGATTGTCAGTGACCTGGGGGCCAGTGTGTGTGTGTGTGTGTGTGTGTGTGTGTGTGTGTGTGTGTGTAGGTGCGCGCGCGCGCGAAGCTGCCTTAAATGTCCAGGGCCTGGACCACACATCTCTTTGTTCGCCTCATGCTGTGAAGAACACTTATGCACAGGGCTTCTAGGGAGGCCTTGATAAATATTTGTCTCAAGGGTTTTGCTGCAGTCAAACAGAAACTGAACATTGACACTCGGGGCTGAGATTACTTCAGGCTTCTTCTCAAGCCCTTCTCACTGACACCTGGCACCTGGTCTCTCACCTCCACCTCTGTGAGTGCCAGCCGCGGGAAAGTGGGTTCTGGAGGCCCTTCGAGCGACATATGGGCAACATAGTGTATTGTGGGGAGGGCTTGGAAGGTCAGACACTAAGAAGTCCCTATCCCACCCCCACACCCCATTCTCTGCGCCCTACTTTACAACAAACAGAGCTCACAAGCCCAGGGTATGTGTGGTGGGGGAGGGGGGACACTCCACAGGAGGAAAACAGCCCTTGAGGAAACAATAGAGCCGGAGTAGTCTACTCGGGAAGGCAAACCACCCGGAACCCGGCATCTGACTCCCACCTACCTTCTCTCCAGACCTTACTCTACTTTTCTTCTTTGGCAGATCCTGTTAGCACTCGCGGCTCCAATAAGCCCCCTGTTCTTGCCCCGGAAGCGCTGTGTTTTCCTGAGGGTTTGCGCGGTCCTCGCTGCAAATTCGTCTTGACATCCCTAGAAGTCGGACAAGGGATCTAGCCAAGAGGCCAGCCTAAATGTGGCCCCCAAGGAAGCGCTATGGGTCTTGCGACCCAGCTCAGGCCTACATTCAGGGTAAAACTTAACGAGCTAGCTAAGACTGGATCCCATGGTTCTATAGAGGCGTGTGTGAGCACAGGGGTGAAAGCCCAAGATGAGGTCATTGTTACCACCGCTGATCTCACAAATATAAGGTCACAGAAATACAGAAACACACCTTTTACTTAGGATGAAACCAACTTTTCTTTCTTTCCTTTTCGTCAATGCTTATTTGTTTGTTTATGGAAATAGGTTCTCATTTCGTATGATTGGCCGGGATGTCTCTCTATATGACAAGCTAGCCTCAGATTCAGGAGCTCCATCTGCCTCTGCCTCCACCTTTGCTTCTGCTTCTAGAGCGCTGGGATTGAAGCATGTGCCACGGCATCTGTCTCCAAACTATTACTTTTTAAATTAATTCTAAATTGTTAGACTAGCTTGGGGCTGGAAAGATGGCTGAGTGGTTAAGAGCACTGGCTGCTCTCTCAGTCCCCAGCACCCACTTGACAGCTCACAACCATCTGTAACTCCATTTTCAACACCCTCTTCTAGTCTCCTGGGGCACCTGGCACACATTTAAGGCAAAACACACACGCGCATAAAACATTTTTTAAAAAAATAATTCGTTTAAGAGTTAGATTATCCTATAATTTGGTGAGGAAGTATACAGTCAAAATTATGGCATTGAATTACAAAACCAAGAATAAAACAGAGGGACCTTCCTGCAGGGAAACATAATGTTTAAGGTGGAGAAAGAGTTGTGGGACGTGCTAGTGACTTATGGAAACCCCGTAGACACATATTCTTTTTGTTTTCCACCCTCAGAGTCACAAGGGTCTGAACAGAACTGTGAAATCCAGCTCACAAGTCTCTGGCAAAGAAACAGTGGCGCACTCTCTCAGTGCCAGAAAGTTATCCCCAGGGTCGGAGCAGCATCTAACTGCCCCCTGCTTCCTGCTGCCCCCACCCACCAGCCAGCCCAGGACCACAAGGGCAAAACAGCCAACTCTCAAGGGGTGCATGCAGAAGTGCAAGTGAGCGCATGCAGGGGTGCAAGTGAGCACCAGGGAGAAAGGCTCTCGGAGGTGTTCCTTCTCTTATCTTGATGTGGGGGTGTTCAGTGCCCTTTGTGTAACCCCCGATGGCTTGCATTGGAGGCAAAGTTTGCAAAAATTGTCTCCGGGCTGTGGCCTTTGCAAAGGCTTTTGCAAAGATTAGGGCTGTTTGATAATCAGATAAACTTGGAGCTGAAAGGCACTTTAGAGTTTGCCTACTTGGCCCTCTGCCCTCTCCACCCCGCTTCCTGTGTGTGTGTGTGTGTGTGTGTGTGTGTGTGTGTGTGTGTCTGTGTGTCTGTGTGTCTGTGTCTGTGTCTGAGTGTGTCTGTGTATCTCTGTCTTTCTCTGTGTGTATGTGTGCTTGTGTCTGTTTCTCTCTCTCTCTCTCTCTCTCTCTCTCTCTCTCTCTCTCTCTCTCTCTGCAGGAGGGAGTTGCACCTTTCATCGGAACCACGACTCACCCAAGGTCACACAGTGAGTGGCAGGAGCCACTGGAGGACTGGGAGAAGAAAGTGAGCTCAGGCCTTCATTACCTTGCACGGCCTTACCCAAGGAAGGCTGTCGAGCTTCTAGAAGGTCCCCCTGCATCCCAGGCCACATTTTTTTCTCCATTCAAGCACACTCTGAGTTCAAGTTGCTTTGTCATGGCTCACTACAGGAAGAGAACTGGGGAACACTAGGCATATAGTGGTTTGGGCAGTGGTAGACAATGCCCACTCTAGTCCCAAAGATGTAAATAAGTAAGTAAATAAAGAAATAGATAGATAAATAAATATAAATAAATAAAAACAAACAAAGGAAGTAAGTAGCACCAACAAAAAGGAAAAAGGAAGACCTGAGGTTTTTACTACAGCGCAGGCCCCTGGGCTCCACGCCGCTGTAGGGACTGGAGAACATCATTTTCAACAAGCCCTCGAGGGACATTCATAACCAGGGCAGTCTGGGTACTTGTCACTGAGGAGACTACAGCAGCCTCTCCACTGTGACTTCTCATTGTGACATTCGGGGACCTTCATCCTTAGTCAGGTTCCAGCCCACCAGCTTCCCACACACCAGCCTCGCTGATGTTTTCATTTGCTTTTCTTCCCCCAAGTTTTTCGTGTGTCTGTGCGACACACCCGCAGAGCAGCACCCAACTCCCTCCTTCCACTTTGTGGGATCCTGTGATGAAGCTCAGTTCGTCAGGTTTGGTAGAAAGCACCCTTACCTGCTGGCCATCCTGTTAGTACCTGCTTTTTATCTTTTGACAAGGTTTCCCTATGTACCGCAGGCTAGCCTAAAACTCACTGTATAGCCAGGCTGGTCTGCTCCCCACCTCAGGCTGCCACACACTGCGATTCCAGGCTTGTTTCGCCACACCAGCATTTTGGGCATTTAAGTTTTTAAAAATTGCATTCGAGTGGCAAGAGCTAGCCTGCACTACGTGACTCTGAACTCATCCACAAGCACCCTCCTATCAAGCCCTCTCCCAGACACCATCCCTGCCTGACATCTCAGGGACGGCAAGTAAGTGACTTTTCAGAGAGCTGCTCAGCCATTCAGGCTGACTGTTCCCTGATCTTCCTCTGGGGGGGGGGGGGCGCTGTTTTCTCTGCCTACCTTTTCTGTTCACAAGGCCCAGCTCACTTTTCCCAGTTAGCACCATTGCAGCGCCTTGGAGGAGGTCCTGCACTTCATGTCTGATACTGCAAAGGATTGTGGGTACCTTGTCCCCTGACCTCGGCTCTGGGACACCCCAGGTTCTCAGCACTCCACTCATTCCACACAACAGCACACAGGACAGTTTTAAAATGCCAACCAGGTCATGTGACTCAAACATTCCTAAGTGTGGAGTAAATTCCCTTAGGAAGGTCTCCCTCACTCTCTGATTTGTGACTCTGCCTGTTCCACCAAAATGCCGTGAATGCTCTTGCTGTGAGATGCTCTCCCCAAATCATAGAAAGCCCCAGATGTCCATATGGTTCCTTCCTTATTTCCTTCAGATCCAGTTTCTTCCATATACAGACTGCTCAATCAGGCAGAAAGCTACAAAGCTGTCACTTCCTTAAGCCTGCTGAAGAGGGAAAGGAGGAAGGCAAAGTCCCCTTGAACCAAACAAACTCTGATTAGACTCCAGCTTGGTGCCACCTACTTCTACCCCCTATCCCAGAGGCTGATCTAAATGGCAGGCTGGGGGGGGGGGTGGACTTATAAAGCAATTACAAAATGAGGTGCAGGCAGATCTCTGTGAGTTCAAGGTCAGCATGGTCTACAAAGTGAGTTCCAGGATAGCCAGGGCTGTTACACAGGGAAACCCTGTCTGGGGTAGGGATGGGAGTGTGGGGGACACAGGACAGGACAGACACGACAGAGGAAGAAAGGAAAGGAAGAAAGGAAGGAGAAGGGAGGGAGAGAGAGAGAATGAATGAAAGAAAAAAGGAAGGAAGGAAGGAAGGCAAGAAATGAGGTCCAAAGATAAGGTTTTACACAAGTGTCAAGGGCTACAAACATTTAAAAGTTTTAGAAGCATCATTTTCATAATTATTTTAGAAGAAAAGTATTTTAAAATTCTTATGCTTCGTTTTTAAAAATCTTTTTGTTCTTTGACAGTTTCATACTTGTATGCAGTTAATGTTAACCCTTCCCCTCCCACTACCCTCCCACCAGACACACTTCTATTTTGTACCTTTCTTTCTGCACAACCCACTGAGCTAAGAAGGTCTCCTTCACAAGCCTGGGGGTGGGGGTCATTTACAGAGCACAGGCAGCTTTGTCAGTGGTTCGACCAAAGAAGAAAACAACATCCCACACCACCACCATCACCATTCCCTGCCAATAGTCTGTCAGGGAGGGGTGGGGCTTTGCAGGCCTTTCTCTCCTCCATGATGCAATGCTGGCAGGCCTCATCTTGCGCAGGTCTTATGAGGGCAGCGCCAGCTAGAGTGAGTTCATAGGTATATCGCTGTGGCTTGTCACATTGTTACACAGAAGACATTGTTTGGAAGTCTTTCCTCACCTCTGACATCTTCCCATCCCTGTGACACTTTGTTAACCTACGTTTTTACTGCCTTTTGATTGCTTCTTAATGTACCAAGGATGTTGTTATACTATTTTTTTTAACTGAAGTAACAGCGAGATAATTATTTCTTTTTCAGGTTTGGTCAGAATTAGTTTACTATTAGAAGCTGGGGTGCATCCAATTAAGAATTAATTAATATTAATTTTGTAACACCCCAAGTCTGTTTATAAACATAAGAATTTCACAGAGTTTCATTTGAAAGTCAAAAAGCACATGGTAGGGCTGAGCATGGTAGCGCACGCCTTTAACCCCGGCACTTGGGAGGCAGAGGCAGGTGGGTCTCTGTGAGTTCGAGAGGACAGTGTAGTTTACAAAGTGAGTTACAGGGCATGTAGGGCTGCAAAGTGAGACCCTGTCTCAAGAAAACAGAACAAATAAACACACACACCAACAAACAAAAGGTCTCACGGTAGATTTATAATTTAAGAAACATTTAGTAGATACAGCTGTACAGAACTTTCCTTGACCCTGCATTCAAAGAACCTTTCTGTTTGCCAGGATAAGGAAACGATGGAGCGATTTAGACCCATTTCCAAGGGCTGGTTTTCAGCTCCAATCCCTCAGGAACGAGCACACCCTCCCTCACCCAGATCTTCTGGCTTCAGTTCTTTGGAGGGAAAGGACTCTGGAGTTGAACCCAGGGCCTTGTCTAGGCAAGGCAAGTGTGCTACCACTGAACTACATCCGCAACACTTGGTTTTGTTTTATTTCGTTTTGTTTTGTTTGAGTCAGGGTCTCACTGTGTAGGTCAATCTGGTCTTGAACTCACTAAGTAGCCCAGGATGGCTCCGAAATCACCATCTCCCTGCTGAGTGCTTAAATTCCCCCATGCCTCGGTATGGCCCTTGGTCTGAGGCTCGGTGCTCCAATAGCAAGTAAGGTGACATGGTGACAGACAGTTGGCAAGGGATAATCCAAGGACCACATAGCGGTGCCCCCAACTTA